AAAATATTTGTGCTACATTTCTATCATCTGCTATGGCATAGTTAGACATATTAATAAATAGATCATCTGGAACAGTGTATCAGAGATTTAGCTCACTATATTAAACAGGCAAAGTAGAATTAATTGCATTCTTCCATTCTGGTTGCAAAATGATGGGTGATTTAAGGTCATAAAGCTATACCAAACATTAAAACAATACATCTTACATACAAAGCCAACTAACCTGTCACATGTTTTTCCCTCATTATTTGCTACTATATAGTAATGTTATTTGGGGCACAGTTCCCTTTCAGACCCATTCATGAATTCCTTTTCCCAAAAGGAGATACATGCACTCAAAAGGAGAAGTCTAAATTCAATTTCCCACCTCAGATGTATGTACATAGTTGCCTTTTCTAAAGTCATATATGTACATCCCTATGAGCAGAATTAGTGTTTAAGTTAGCTTCTTCAAAATCTCTTGTAAATATTTATGGAAATACAAATCTTAGTAACACAAGTAACACTAAAAACACTCCCCAAATAAAATGTGGAAAAAAAAATTACCCAAAGAAAATTGTTTCAATGTTAAAAACCCACTAAACGAAGTTTTTAAAAAATAAATATGTTGTCAGATCTCAAACAGTGTCTGCCCTAACACTGAGATACAGTGTCATGCCTCATTCTTCAAGTAATCTCATTTAACTGCCTCTGAATTTAATATAAGTGTCAAAAAGAGGGCTTTTCTAGTGAACCAATACATTTTTGATGATCTTATATTTGATCTGTGACTTTCACCTTATCTGCCAAATATTGCATCTGTCCAGTTCAAGCACAAAATAGTCTTTTACAAAGTTGGCTCTGGATGATTTGTCAAAAAACTGTATTAAAATACAAATTAAAAAAAACTGAAGCAAAAGTATGTCTATTGGAAACTTACCAAACTTCTTTCCTTCTTTGGCTGTGCCCGTCATCTTATTCTTAGCAACCTCAAAGAAATCTTTTATTTCTCTTTCATATAGTCGTGATAAATAATCCATGTAATTCTTAAGTGAAAAACAAAAACAGTTTAGCACACATACTATGATATGAACAAACACAATAACCCAGAATTATAGATACAACCTGAAAATAAAAACGAACAAGCTAAAGCTCTTGGTGCCTAAAGATTTGGACTATATAAAACCTTACAGGTCTATGCTACCACCAGAGGCTACAAAGAAACAATTCCACTGGGGCATGCTGTAATCTCCCAGCCCCAGGGGAAGTATAAGTGACCAGACACCCAACTGTTATTGGGGATGGCCAAAATGGCATAGGAACATAGCTTAACTCATCCTCTTTACAGTTTCTGCTACTGGGATCTTACCAACCCTCTAGCAACAAATAAAAAGGTGTACTCCAAGCAAAACCCCTGAAAGCATGCCCTCTCACAGGATGAATCCTTGTTGAGAAACAGAAGGCCAAGACAGCTCAAGGTTAAAAATTCCACTTCCCTGTCATGAGATACAATAAAGATGCATACTACAATTAAAGGACCAATATAATTGTAACTGACAGAAGAAACGTGCTTTAATTTTAGCTTGCACTGTTGCTGAGAAAGTTTAAGTTCCAAAATGTAAGAAACTGGTCACAAGTGAAGTATAATTTTTTTAACTTTCTGATTGCTTGATTGAAATCTCTTAGCACCACAAATGGAAGTGCCTCATGGTATTTGTTTTCTCATACATTAACCACTTGGCATAGTCCATAAATCCCTCCATACATTGCTAATGCATTCCTAACTATCAGTGCAAAAACATAACAAGAACATATTGGAAGAATAAGTGCACACACCTTTCTCCTATAAAACCATATGTGCATGTGTGTAGGTGCATGTCACAAGGAAAGCACACAAATGCCCATCGTTAGGGTTGTATGTGTGCGCACACACAATCAATCATATACACACACACACACACACACACACACACACTAACCCATTACCCTCTATTTTGCCTACTTCAAGAAACAATAGTAGAAACTCAGTCCTTTAGCAAAATTGCCAACCTGCTTTATCACTTCATATATACAGTAAAACTCCGATGGTCCGGCATCTGACGGTCCGGCACCATCAGGAACCCGGAAGTGCTCCGGGCAGCCGGACCATTGGAGCTGCTCTGCCCCCGGCTTCCCCAATTCAGCCGCTGCTGAAACTGACCAGTGGCTGAATCCGGGAAGGCGGGGGGCAAGCAGCC